CAGAATATTTTTCTTTCCAATAAATGAAAGAACACACACACATACACGTACATGCAATGCCATGGGCAAAAAAACATCGCAAATAACAATATTTCTCTCTCTCAAGATAGTAAAAAATAGAAGTATGAAATAAATAGAAAACCTTTAGCTTTTTATATATTTTTGCTAAATGAAAAGATAGCTTTATCTGATGCTTTACATATGAAACAAACAAACAAAAAATTTCAGGTATCAGAGATAGAAAAAAAAAAACAACTTGCAGGCCACATCTCTCACAGAACAACCAACCATCGATTAAGTAGCATGGTTTTCATTTCAAGTGCAGACGCAGACACAGCAGTTTCACCTTCAGCTCTATTACAAACACTAATCTCAAAGTACCTTCTGCAAAATGTTCCGTACGTGAACACCTCTTTAATAAACTCTCACCCAGTCAGGGGCTGAAGACATCAAAAGGTCTTCTAGACTGGGGTTCTGGAAAGATTATTTTTGAAACACAGTTCTTTTGGTAAAGCCACTGGAAAGAGCAAACTAGTTGTGACATTATTACATAAATTCCTCTCAGCTGACTTCTAACCCAGCCTGCCACAGATGGAAGGAAAGTTGGTCAAATGTGCTGCTTAACCTGTGATACTACCCAAATGCTGAGGAAGAGGGGCACCAACCAACAAATATAAGAGTGCAGCACAGTACTTTTAGTAGGTGACGGACTACCCAAAGGTAGGCACGGGCTTATTTGTGCTTACTTACTTATCTGTACTGCACAATTTCACTTGTTTTTCACCACATCAACAATGTGGTAAAATCTATGTGAAACTGTGCACTACAGATGAGTAAGGAAACACAGTTATGTCCGTACATACCTTGCTTACTGGTTAATCCACCCCTGGTTGCAGGTCAGAAGAAATGACCAGGAAATGGATGTTAAGGCCTTTGGAACGGCAGAGGGTCACATCAGAGAGATGATCCTATATTGGGACTTCCTGTACAACTGCTGACCACATGCTCTCTTGGCTGTAAGTGTTAAGGCTTTATAAGAAGCTAACTATAACAAGGAAGTAAGCAACATTTAACTGACAGAAAACAGGCAGCATAGTGGTGTTAAGAGAGTATACAGCTCATGAAAAATCAAGACTGAACTAAAGGGAGAGGTAGTTTCTCAGAACCGGAAGAAATAAACAGTTTGTTTTCTTCAAAGGAGATAGAACAAGACAAAAGCAGGAAGTGCTGTCCTTCCTTCATCCTGCCAGGTTTTCAATGGAAAGTCAAGTGTGTGCATCAATCATGATGAGGGAGAGAGACCAAAGTGATACCACCTTCAGTTTTCTGAAAGGAAAGCACAAAGATGTATCACATAGCACACTATTCTTCATTTTGCTCTTTCAAACAGTCCAGCGCATGCTGCGCTATAAAGTAATTCCCACTAAAATAGTCCAGTGCATGACAAACACAACCTCTCTTTAAACTTCCTGTAAGGTTCTTCAACCTTAGCACTCACGGAAGGTATCTGAGCTGGAAAACAATACTATTGCATATTTTCCAAAACAAAGATTCTGGGTCCACATTCCTTAGGTGCCTGTAGGAGTCAAAGGCTCTTCTTTGCTGTGGTTTCAAAGATTATTCCATACATTTAAAAGACTGAATGTCACTTTTGTTTGAAAGACTATTTGCCCGAAAGTTCTAAGAGAATGAATACTAACCAAATATCCTCAAAATTCTGTATAAAACTAAAAACAATGAGAGCTAATAATTTATTTGCACTCATAATTCATCGTTCACAATTAAGATATTCTCTAGTGGGCTCGGCCTATTACGTCATATCTGGAATAGAAATTAAATTTCACTAAATTCTATTAAATGAAAGTGAAATTATACACAGGCTGCCTTGACTTACGGATGTGGTTGGTTACAAAATTTTTGTTTGCAATTCAGTATCCTGGAACCCTGAATACATTTAAAAAACAAACAAAAAACAATGTTTGAAATGGTGGCTAGTTCCAGGCCAGCCTGCAAAAGTCTATTGACTCCATAATGTATCTAAAGGCTAGTATTATATTTACAATATTCCAGAAGTGGTAATCTACTAGGAAGAAAAAAATACACTTAACATATATTGAGAATTTAGAATTGGCCAGAAATTACACTAAGAGCTTTGCATTGTTACCTCTTTTAATCCTTACAACAATCTTATAATATAGATAACCGAGCCTCAGAATGATTGTGTGACCTGCTTTAGACCACATAGCTAGTAAGTTGTGGATACAGAAGTTTAGCACAGGGAGTTGGAATCTGGAGAATGATGCTAAATGTTAGAAAACTTAGGCCTCTCGTACCCGCTCATTGTGGGACCTTGGGCAGGTTACTCAACCACACTAAATCTCTGCTTTCTTATCTGTAAAATTAAGAGTAGGACTTACTGATTCATAAAGGCTCCCTTTAGGTCAAAAATTCTATTTTCCTACTTGCTAACTTCCAGAAGCAATTTTCTTTGATGGAAAAGACATTCACAGTTTCAAACGGAGATAAGATTAGCATCCCTTTCTTCCTGACAGACATGGGGGAGGGGGAGAACTTCTAGAAAGAAGGAATTAGCTGTTCAGTTGGGAATTCTAGAGGATATGGGAGAGCGGTATAAGGAGCTATTGGATGGAGAACTGGTGGCTTCTCAGTTGGATCTCATTTTTCTTGCATGCATACAGGCTGGCCAATTGTTTTTCTTTCTATGCAAGGTTTAATTCCTTCCAGACATGCAGTTCCATAGAATACACACTCAAAATTTCTCTCCTTGTTTTCCTATCCCTGAACAAAAGCATACACTCTCAGTCAGGTTTTCTGAGACTTTTTATCTCTAACAACCAAAGAATTGAACAAGAAGTAAAAGGGATTCCTGCTATCTATATACCCTGGCCGCCTTCTTTTTTTTTTTTCCACTTTGACCCTTGTAGAGAAAGACCAAGATTTTCTGGTAAATAAAGGATTAAAGGAAAAATCCATCTGTATTTTAGAGCAAAAACCCTAGTATCCAAGTTTCTGCTGAATTCCTCCTTAGGAAGAATAAAGGGTTTCAGTGAGGAGATGAGACTGAAGTTCAGGATTTGCCTTCCAAAATGGAGGACCCAAGTAGGGGAAGGGGATGGGAAGTTTAATCTCTATGGCTTATACCACTCATTCTTCATTCCCACCACCTTGTTTTTACTGAAGATCTTCCCAAAACATACAATAGGTCAAGAGGAAAAATAGATGTGATGATGGGAAATAGAAGAAAGGTTCTAAGGGAAATTCCATGCCACATAAACTTGGAGAGAAGGAGGTCCTTTGGCCAGTGCTAAGGAATATTAATGTATGAGAGGTGATCCAGTAGGGTTATATACTCAAACATGAATATAAACACATAGAACAGAATAACAAGATCACAGAGTACAGAGAGAGATCTTAGAGGCTGCCTAGTCTCATCACCTTCCCAATGGAAAGATTTTTTCTACAGTATCTTTGACAGATGATGAAACAGATTCTGTTTGAATATTCTAATCAACCCATTTCCTTCTTGGACAGCCCAAACGGTTAGAGAGTTCTTGAAACTTTATCACTTCCAATCATTTGTTTTGTTACGAGCTCAATGAGGGCAGGAAATGAGTCTTAATTATGCTTACATTCCCAGAATCTCCAACTTTGTAACAGCAGATACTCAACAGATGTTTGCTGAACTAATACATAATTGAATTAGTATATATAAGCTATCTGAAGAAACACATTGTCTACTTCCCAATGCATACAATGACTCTAAATTTGACAATGATCATGTCTTCTAAGCTTTCTCTTCTTCACATTACATATTCTTCTTCACACTATATATCCTCTATTCTCAACTAACTCTCCCCATTCTGATGGGAACCTACCGTATTATCTACATGTGCCTTTGTCATTTCTTAGATAGATTCAGAGGAAATTAAAAATCAAGGGTAACCAGAAGTTATTTTATTGCATCTGCTCCCTTTGTTATTAGTCATAAAAGCCCTTTGAATTTTCAATATATTTTCTATAGTCTTCTTAGAGGTATGGCATTTCAATACTAAAATGTGTTCACTGTAAAAAAAAAAAAATCAAGAAAATGAAAAGCTTTCATAATATCAACATTCCAGGTGCATCTCTTTCCAGTTCTTTTAAAAAATCTTTTTAATATTTTATGATCATACTGTATAAATAATTTTTACCCTACTTTTTTACTTAACATTATACTATGAAAATTTTCTCATGTTATTATCAATGCTTTACAGAGATCATTTTAAATACTTATATTTTATGGCAGAGCGATTTAGTTATTTATTTAACCAATTCCTTATGGTTGTTCAGTGCCCAGTATACCACTACAATAAATACTACTTTAGCAAAAAAAAAAATCAATGTACATGAATTTTTTCTATATCTTTCATGATCAGTTTAGGTAGATTACTAGAAATGTAGTTACTAGGTCGGATGGTATACATTTTTTTATAAGACTTTTGAAATTCTATTCCTTAAGATGTTCTCTCAACCCCAAAACTAGGCCATATTCCTTTGTTATATGTTCTGGTAGCATTCTGCAGCTCCCCTTTCATAATCTTTATCACTATTCTCAATCTTGGTTATACTTCCTTTTAGACTGTGAACTCCACAAAGATAGGGCCAGAAACTGTTTTGCTGAATGTTTTACATAGGGCCTAGCACATGGGACATACTCAATGTATATTTTATTGAATTAGCTGATTATTAATAAGTTGCTTCCTTGAATGTGTGTTCCAATTTGTGGCCCAGAAGCAGTATTTCTATACTCCCACCTCACTGTACCAATGTCTTAAAACTGTGATACGGAAATGGGGCAAAACATTTTCAGTTTGACTCAACTTTTCTTACAAATGAAGCTTCTAGTAGTAGTTTAAAACTCATTTTTCAGCTATTATGAATTCACTAAGCATGTTTAGCTCTGTATTGAAAATGAAGAGAAACTGAGATCTGAACATTACCAGTTCTCGGGGAAGAAAGTTTCCTTCTTGGCGGGCGATGACGAGTGACACTGTTTCTCCCTGCTTGGTGCTCCTCAGCATGGCCACGAGCTCCTCCTGAGTTCGTCCAGTGACGTCTCTGCCATTTACCTAATTAATGCAATCATGTGAGCAGACACAATTACAGCACTGCCATCTCCTTCTACCCTACCTGGTGTTTGAAGGTAAGCAGCAAATGGGCCCCCATAATCAACGAAGCTCCGAAAAGATGAAAACTAAACACGTGGGTGGAAACCAACCATGGTTAAAATACCACTAACATATGGACAACCATTATTATGGTGATAGACGGTCTCAAACAGTCAGTGATTAGTAGCATCAGTTTTTTCTAAGATACCACATTCTTAGAAGGGAAAATCAAACTGACAAATGCCAGAGAACGATTCCTCCAATAGGTAGGAGGCGGATTTCAAATGCGTAGCTGGCACAATTTTCTGCCTAATACAATGAGCAGAAGAGAACCATTATCACACAGCAATTTTCCCTGGAAATGTGAGTCTTTAGATATAATTCTAGAGTCTTCTCCCTGCTTAGTAAATTATAGTCACTGGATTATCATAGATTATTGGAAATTCTAATTTGGAGATACATTAGTCATTTGGTGTGTCTTCTTTTATGACCTAGAACTACATAAAAACCTAAAGTGATGTTTCATGCTACCAGAGAGTGAAACGGAACCAAACAGCTTTCAATGAAGATGACTGCTTAAAAGATAAGCTGATAATATATATGTTGCCAAGACAATGCTATCAAACAAAAATAAATGAAAAAAAAAATTATCTTGCTTTGGGTATTCCAAATACTTTCCTCTGCAAAACCCCTTATAGTTGTTTCTATTGCCAGCCTAGCACAGGTGATGCAGATCAACCTGAGAAGGACTGGCCTGTCCTTAGAGAAGTTTAAAGAAACTGCTGCCAGGGCTTGGATATAACTTTGAAATTCTTAGCTCTAACTGAATATATGATGAAATCCTGGATTTGATCCAAATTCCCCAGACGCCCTAAGAGGTGAAAGAAAGAATGTCAAGGCAGAGAAACATTTTCAGTATTATTTGGCCCTAGAGCACTGACCTTATTAGGAACTTACAAAGTTAGGCCGTTCCTTAACTAGTTCTATAATTAGTTAAAGTCCTTATCCTTCCTATGTCCTTATTAGTGAAAAATATATTGGTCCTTATTATGAAAAGTAATAACTACATATATACCAAATCCAAAAACCAAACTCATTGCCATTGAGTCAATTCTGACTCATAGCAACCCTAAAGGACAGAGCAGAACTGGCCCATAGGGCTTCCTAGGCTGTATTCTTTACAGAAGCAAATTGCCACATCTTTCTCTTGTGGAGCAGCTTGTGAGTCTGAACCACTACTTTTGGTCATCTGCTAAGTGCTTCACCACCGTACCATATATATATATATATGTATGTATGTATATATATATAAAATTTATATTTTGAGTACTACATATAGTACTCAAAATATAAATATATATGTACACATTTATACACGTATTTATTTAAATGCCAACCAACACTTTATTGACAACATTAATTGCAACTCATACCTCCAAAATTCTGTCCCCTGATTGCAGACGGCCATCTTTTATGGCTGCTCCCTTTGGTAAAATGTTTTTCACGAAAATGGGGCCAGGACCATGTATGGAAGAGTCTCTGGTAACCACAGTGAAACCAAGTCCTTCAGGACCTAGAATGTAAGATCAATAAAATGCATGGTCACCATAAATATGAGTAATACTACACTCAATCTTACAGTAAATCTACCTAATTTAGACTAATGTAGAATAAGTGAAACGTTTACACTCCAGGAGATTATAAATATGCTTCAATTGTTCAAATACAGATATAGCTCCTGGCATGCCATGATGGTGTCAAACTGAATTTAGGGCCAAACATAAATATGTAACAAATGTTTATTAAGGTCCTAAAAGAAATGACGTACGTTATGATATTATCATGACACTGATTTCTCAGTAAACCATAACCAGTCTACAGACTTTACTAAGAGGCAAAAAGCCGCGTGACATGGGTTCCGTCAGACTCTCAGTCATCTAGTCATCTTGTGGCTCACTACCCGTGTCTCAGTTCTTGGACTGCTGTCTCCTATTGTCCCATCACTCACTCTTGCTGCTCCTGCCCTACTCTCTTGCGTCTTCCATCTCTCCTTTTCAGGATATCTTTTCATACTATCTATAAGTCTTCTCAGGTTTCTCCACCCTAAAACACCCTTATTTCAATCTTGCTGCCTCTTCAAGCTTCTATCACCCAAGGACCTACCCCGGATCATATCCAGTAACTCTTCCTATCTTTGATCTTTCCCTTCTCGAGCTTTGACACTTCCCATCAACCTTTTTTTTTTTAATCACCCCTCCGCCCAAACTTGGCTTGCAGGTTGTTATCTGATTATCTTCCTCCCTCTCTGATCATGTCATGTTTGTCACTCTAACTCCATCCATTCTCCTCCCCTACAAACATAGATGTGCCCCCAAAGATCTGTCTTGGACCAATCTGTCCTCTAGACTCTGCCTTGGCCAGCTCCTGGCTCCAACTATCATCTCTCTATGGAAGGGAATGGATTCTCTTTCTTTGTCCCTGGTATCGCTTTATGCCTAGATATCACCATGCACATACTCTTACCAGCATTTCAAATGCCACCATGAGCCCCCTTTTCAACCCAAAATGCCAGCCTTTTGAAATATCCTCAGCTACTTATAATTTTAACGTCTATTATTGTCATCTCCATTCCGCAAATAACCAAGATTTTTGTCACATTCTGTGTCTAATTAATCTTTTTATCCCCAAAGCACCCAACCCACTGTCTTCTACATTGCCAGATGTTTATAAAAAAGACAACCGATAATTCAAATAAGAAACATAATTGCTAAGTACCCTGGAGTATTTGTGCCTCCTAGTCAACATATTTCCTTCCAAGTAAAGAATCCTGATAGGTGAATCAAATTCTAATCAGAAGATCTTTCCAAAATAATGTCTATATTCTAATTAAAGATACATGTTATACATGTATGTAATACATGTTAACAGATGCATTCTAAAGCTGCCTTTGATAATTAAATGCTCTATGAATTCAGACAGGAATGTATGAGATCAATTTGGTTTCTTTTGAATTGAGGCTTGAAAAACACAGAATTTCAGAAGGTTACAGTGCAGGAAGGGAATGTCAAGCAGAGGTTAGAAAATGAACAAAAGCATGGAAGTGCATAAATGATTATTTGTGTGTATATATAATATTGCATAAGTACACATTTGCACACATGATCTAGTCTCATTGATCTGTTTGAAATGGATAGAACAATTAAGAAAGATTAAGAAAATGTTAAACATATTTTTGAAATTAAGTATGTTTTAAAAAATTGTTTGCAATGTTGAATTAGTAAAATTAAAAATCATCACATATTTACTTCCCAAGGGACAAACTTTTTTGCTGATTTAAAACTATTTTAGAGAACCAAAAGCAATATGCTTTTGGACTTGGGCTAAAGGATGCTTCAAAAATCATTAATCATGCTCAAAACAGGGACAATTGAATTTTAGTGCCTATTTAGTGTTAAGTTGTAACACAATATTGCTGCATTTCTATCAGGTGTGCAATGATTCCTTCCATTCCCATGTCTTTCCATATCCATGTCTTTATTACTTTCTTGTTTCAAATAATCTATCCTCTCTAGAAGAAAAGAATACAAAAAGTAGTATAAGTTCAGGAAATTTAAGTTACCTAAGTATACACTTAAATCTTTTCTTTGATACAATTAAATGAAGGGAAAATTAACTAAATTAGTCTTAACGCATTTTTCTTAACCAATTTTACGTGTTACAATAATAGAATGCTATTAAGCATAATCTAATAATTACCTTTCTTTAGGTCAATCTTAATTTTCTTTGCATTTTTCTTGCTGCCAAACCCCATGAGAGGGGAGAGTGAGGGAGAGGATGGCTTTCTTCCTAGTCTTGGTACTCGGGGGCTCTTGCTTTGTTGCGGGGAAGTTGATGCATCTGCTTCGGGACTACTTGTTCCTGCCAGATTTACTGTCTTTATTACTGATTTTCCATGGATAGGAGGCGGCGCCTTTGTTCTCGAAATGCCATCATTGTTACCAAAAATGTTAAGAGGGCCAATGACTGATTTTTCATACTCTTCACGGTTTTGGGGTGACAGTACATGGAGGAGCACACTTGGGGATTTCATCGCCTGACGGAAGACATCTTGAGCCCTTAAAAGAGATAGAATGTATAATGATAGACTGTTCTAGCATGCCACTTTCTAAAGTATACCAGCATCCTGGTGACGGGCAGTAGCATCAGCATAGGAGACACTATCAGCATTAATACCAATATGACTTTGTCAACAAACTACTAGTTACCACTTATTACCTACCTACTATGTGCCCCTGCACTAGGCTAGACATGCATTATAACATGAATAATTCTCTCATTTAAGTTTCTTAACAACCCTGTATGAAATCTATCCAGATGTGGTTACTGAAGTAAATATGTAAGTAAGCTTTAATTTTAATTAAAAAAATCATTTCATATTATTGGACTATCAGGTTCTTTTAGGACTTTGTTCAGGTCTCTGGACTCTGTACAGGTCTTCACTAACAGGGTTTGTGTTCCAGAAATTCAATTTTAACACAGATGTTTCTTCATGGAGACATTTTAGTAGGGGCATTGGGTGTACCTAAATGTCACAGTGGATATCAATCCAACATGCTCCCTTACTGTCATTCTATCAGAGTACCTTGTTTTTTTTCCTTAAGAAAATTACCATTTATTACATATTTCTACTTTTCTATCTTAGTACTTTGATTTTTCCTTAAAAGGACATATAATTTATAAATTTGTATGCTTTTACGTATTTGTCTTTATTATATACCTGTGTGTGTGTGTATATATATATATGTATAGTCACGTGTCACTTAAGATCCATGATACATTATGTGATGTGGACGTTGTGTGAACACCATATTATATACAGGCAGTCCCCGGGTTATGACCATCTGACTTATGTACAACCTGCAGTTATGAACCAATCCCCATAAACTCTATCAAAGATTTGAGGTACCTACAATGGTTCATAATAACAAATGGGCACTACTTTGATTTATCATTATTACTGTATCATTGTGTTAAAGATGTTTTAGTGTATCTCGAAGTGTTTCTTTAATGTTTTTTATGCATAGAAAGGTACACTATTTGAACTCCATTATAACTTTATGGGACCTCAGACGTATATGCAGTCAAACATTGCCCAAACGGATGTTATGCAGTGTATGGGACTGTCTATACATATGCATATATATATATATACATATATGTATATTTGTATACATACACTATATAGCTGTATTAATATATAAAATATACACATATATTGAATAATATAAAATATATAATAAAATAATAAATAAAATATAACTATATACACACATACATTTTTCTCTCCTTGTTCTTTATGCTTCTATATGCCCTTTGACTATGTAAAACAACTACCTTTTCCAAACTTTCCTGCTAATGAGTTGTAAGTGAAGGGGTTAAACAGAGCCTAAAGGAAAGCTCTTTAAAAGACCTGGCTCAGTTGGAAGGCATAAACTTGTGTTCTTCTCTTTCTCTTTCTGATTTCTTGGAACTCAGAAGTGATGGAGGGAATTCCAGCAGCCATCTTGTGATACTGAAACAACTTAAACACAATGACCCCAGGGTAAGGAGGGCAAAGCAGAAGACAGAAGATGCCTAACTGATGACTGTGAAGCTCCCATACTAACCCTGGACTGCCCATCTCCACACCTGCTTGTCTTGAGAGAAAATAAATCTTAATCTTGTTTAAACTGCTGTTATTTCAGGTCTCTGTTATTAGCAGTCACATCAAATAATAACAATATAATTCCTACTGTTATTTGAGTACCCTCTATCGAAGCACTTAATTCCCCATGTTATTAGGGGAGAGGGAAGAAGATTCCACATAGGCAGCCAGATTTCTTTGGTCAGTTCCCCTACGTTATTTTTGCTTGACTAGGAATTGGTTTCTATTCCATATTAACCATGTGTCCTGGGGGAAGTCACTGAATTTTTATGTATCCCAGTTTCCACCTCTATAAAATAGGGATAATTTTATGCCCTGCATGCTTATTAACTCCTTTTAAAAATGCACAGTGTTACATACTAAAAAAATCATTATTAATAATTACAATTTTGTTTATTATTTCATCATTTTAAGAAATATACTCTTTTAAAGCTTCATTTCTTGACTAATGACCACAGAGAAGATATACCATGAGCTGTTTTAGTTAGAAACAACAGAGGCTGGTGATCATTACTAAGGAGTATTAGTATTTATTCCCTTGTTCCAGAATCCCTGCAATGTCAATATAAGTTTGTACGTGTGTATACATATGTGTGTGTGTGCGTATCAAACTGCAACACACTGTAATTTTTAGGTACAGGAACCTATTTCCATCACATTGTCACATGCAGGCAGAGACGTTTTTTGAGGGAGAGCATTGTAATTTTTTTTTTTTATTGGTTTCACAGACATCTCTCACAGATTTTTTAGTTTAAGGGAAGACTACTGACACCAAGTAAGTTAATTAATAAGCTGAATTAACAATCTGCGCAAAGAGTCATTAAATACCAGTCTAACTGACCCATGTCGTAAGAAAAACAAACCCTTCCAGAGATAGCCCCGCATGACAACCAGGCAGAAAGGATGCTATATTTCACAGATTAACACACTTAGGGCTGGCAGGGACATGTGCAGACCACCTTTCAGTATGCTAAAACATAAAATTCATTTGAAAATGGATGTTCTGGGGGTCATTCAAGGGAACTGACTGGAAATTCTACCTATAATTTTGATCATAATGAGTTCAGTGATGATCATAAACATTCCAGGAATCGATAAAGTAAGTAAAACAATGAAAAAATGCTTACTGAGTAAAGGTTTTGTCTACGAGATCCACATTGTTGATTTTTATAATACATTCATTTTCATGAAATAGTCCCTCCCTCTTGGACCTGCTGTTTTCTTCAATGCCTCGGATGAAGAGTCCTAGAATCCTAAATGCAAAATCCAGGTTAAAATAGAAATACTGAATAATAACATGCTAATTATTTCTCCACTTGTAACTATTCAGAAATAAGTATTGATTTGTATTTACAAAAGAAATTATGCTTTATTTCAGACAACTATTTATGAATTCCTTAGTTTAAAAAAAAGAAACTTCACTAAAAGGGAAAAAGCCCTTCAAGACAAACATACATACCAACACAGAGAACATTAGCCTGTGACCTCATTTCTCAGGCTTCCAGTAACTTAGAAAAGGCCGATATAGCTCAGTGGATTAGATGAGACAAAAGACTCATAGTTTGGAAGAGAGCATTACAGCTTACTGTAATAACTTAGTGCCCAGTTGCCAACTTGATATTTAGTGATGTGAGAGGATTAGGTATTCACTTCATTTTCTACAGTGTAACTACCTGTTCTAATAATTTGCATGCTAAGAAGTAAACAAATATTTAAGGGAAGATCTTATTACTCAGTTTAGAAGGAATATAAATCCCTTTTTTAGTGTTGCTGAATCAGGCATGTGTTGCATATTTTCTATGTGCTCAGGAGGAGGAACATGAGACAAGGTGAAGGATCAGAGCCAGGTAGCTTGGTCAGCACAGACTCAGAGTACAGCAGAAGTTCAAAAACGGGAGACTGCAATGGCCTAGGGTTTTTCCAAAAGGATTTGGGGAAAAAGTGGTGATATAAACCGGATCTGAAGAATTAGAAGGATTTGGAGAGGAGTAAAGAGAGTTAAGGAGCCCTGGAGGCACAGTGGTTAAAGCATTCAGCTGCTAACCGAAAGGTTGGTAGTTCGAACCCACCAGCTGCTCCAAAGGAGAAAGATATGGCAGTCTGCTTCCATAAAGATTACAGCCTTAGAAACTCTATGAAGCAGTTCTACTCTGTCCTACAGGGTCACTATGAGTCAGAATTGACTCGATGGCAACAGATTTGGGTTTTTTTTTTTTTACAGAGAGCATACACACAGAGGACGGTTGGACACCATGTGTTTGTGTAAGCTGGGTTTGGGTGAGGAGGAGTGTGGGGAGCTAACACTGAACAGAGAAGCCAGTGCCACATACGTGAGTCTGGAACACCAGCAGGTGAATTTATTCTAATGAAGATGAAATAGACCACCCACCACAGCCCACTTCTGACAAGGGCAGTGATATGATGAAGGCAGGCCTTTGGGAGTTGTCTGAAATTTCAACAAGGGAAACAGTGGATTCGGAGAGAATATCCAGGGACTCCTAGTACTTTTGGCTGTGGATTAGAGTCAGGAGAAGAGTGGGGCTGGTGAAGAAGGAAAGAAAGAAAACAATGGCATGAGAATAAAGAATTAAATCTCACACATACACACACACAACCAAACCTGTTGCCATTGAGTCGGTTCTGACTCATGGCAACCCCAAGTGTAAATACATACATATATATGTATTATGTATACATATCTGCGACTCTGTTACATATTGGTAGTATCAAAACCAATAACTAAAAGAAATGGGACTTGTATATTTTAGCTATTTCTCATTTGAGGGGTTTCCCTTCTCCTTATAGCATGACAGGGTCCTTGCTATGTCTCAGAGTAAGAAAGAAAAATATGTCCTTCAAGACAAATCTGCTGGGTTTGGAGAAACCGCAGTTTCCACCTTCTTTGTCCTCTTATTTTCTACTTTGTCATTCTCTTTTGTATAGGTGCTTTGTGTGCTATTACATAGTTTCTTTGCATTCAATATCAAATCTAAATAAAATATGAGCACATTTTATGCATGAATAATAGGGTCAGCCATGGAAAAAGGGCAGTCTATAATGCCAGTATAGGAGCAAACCAATCCTCCTGTTTGGAACAGTCCCAAAGTTGAGCATCTCCCTCCAGGGCTCCAGGTCATTTAATGAGCTCATGCGATTTCAAGATGTCAATGGGCAAGGCACATGCTGTGATATTTAAAAGTTTCTACTTCAAAAACGTTCAGTGGATGCAGCATGCTATTGCAAGAGAGAGAACAGCAAATAGTCATGCCACCCACTGCAGGGAAGGCTCAGCTCATAGGCACAAGTGTGAGGCGAGGTGTTATGTTTCATTTTGTAGTTCTAGTATGTCAGGAAATTAATCAAACGTATTCTGTGTGAAAGACAGAAGGGGACACATCTATTTGATATAGGATCTGGATTCAAATTAATATTTTTAAGATATTAATCTAATCTTAATCTCATAACTTAATATTAAAAATTAAACTATTAGCAATGCAAAAAAAAAAAAAAAAAACCTAAATAGGACAAAACAGTATTTTTTTTTCCCCTAAATTAAACAGCACTCTAATAGGTTTTTGGATTTTCATTATGGTGGAGTCACAATAACATGATCCATTAGAAGGCTCACATATGGTTATAAACTAGTTTATGTAAGTGATATTTTTTTAACAAGCATTCAAGTCTTCCTTTAATTTAATTCAGTACATCATCAGTCATGTAATGTTACTCCCTAGGATTTAATTTCACATTTTGGGAGATGAATTAATTCTTTCAGGCCACTGGGTTGCAATTTAACTGGTATATTACAGCTGGAGTATGCTATGTGTATCTCACTCATCGAAATAACCTAACTTTCCATGAAAAATTTATTGACGGAATAAGCCCAACTGTAAAACCGGTGTGTCAGAGGTAATTTTGGTAAAATACAAAACTGACTGATTTTATTAGTTTGGTTCCTTGCAACAAACCACTGCTGCCCTCTCTGTTCCACAGAAGGGATGGAGTCCCTTCAGTTAGATTTCATCCAGACCAGTGAGAAGGCTCAGAAAAGATTCTCTCATAATCCTCTTTACCCCAAACTGGTCGGCTGTGGTAGCTGTCTCATTTAGGACCAAGGCAAGCAGGATTTAAAGATTAATACTGTCAAGGAGTTATAGGCCGAGACTAACCAGTTCATTTACATTAACGAGCAGATATAAAGGATGCTGAAATCCACAGCCCTGCAGAATAAGATGGGTAATGGACAATGCCTTGCTCTTCTAATCATCATTTAGGCCTCAGCCTACACTCTTGCTGCCCCTTATTGTTCTCCCCTCTGTATCACATGGCCTTGACTACTCGAAAATAATTTTTACCTAAACATTTCCTCTTCTCACATGATGTGCCACTCTTCAAACAGCCCTTCCTTCTTCTTCTCTCTCATGTTGAACTGTTTTTACTAAGAAACTGGGGTATATCTTTATTTACTGGAAAACCTGAAATGTCATCCTTTTAATTCTAAAGATCACTTTGACATTTCTCTAAAAAAATGAATGAAATTGAGTTGCTTTTTACTTGCAAGGATACAGATTTTTGTATGTCTGTTTTGTTTCGTTTTTACTGTGAAAGCCAATGACCCTCAATACCAGCAGCTCTCAGCACCCTTATGCTTGGCATCTAATTAATTCACTGAGGCCTTATCTAGCACAGCAACCACATATCTTACTCAGGATGTCCTAACTTAGATAAGCTTTCTTATTCAACAACAGGTGTAGCAGTATTTTTCTAAAAGAAAAAAGAAAAAAACTAATAAATTAGAGGCAAAGCCAATTACTGTAGTCTTAGCAAAGAATTAAATGTAAATTCTAATTTAAAATAATAACACAAACCAATCAATGGAAGGAAATTAAGAAGCAAGTATTCCATTATGACCTTAACTAACTCCCCGTACTCACATAGTGAAACCATATGGCATTGTGAGGTCAGACACTTGTCTGACATGCCTCTGTATGTGGCTGCATCTAGACACATGGGTTGAGTTAAGTGTGCTGTTTCAGCCTGTACTCATTACTTCTTAACTTTGATTGGCTCATGACTCCACTTCCATATTATTTTTAATGTTTTTTAATTAAATTTCCTTTCTACAATACCAGTGAATAGCAAAAACAAACAAACAAAAAAAAAATTGGCAGAACTATTTCACCAAGTTTCTGAACACTTGACCATGAACTTGGAAAACTTTCTTATCCAAGACATTTTGTTTTAGCAATAATAACAATACTGATATTTTGCGTGTTCATCTGCTATATGTTTACAAGGGATTTCACATTTTTAACATCTTTTAAATCCTATAACTTTGATGTAAAATAGGTATTCAAATACCCATCTAACAAGAGGTAAATTATTAGGGGATTTGCTGCAAAAAAGAGACTGGGATTTAAATCCAATTGTTCTGAATCCAAGTTCAATGCTCTTTCTACTATTCTTACTTTTAGGCTTATGTTAGAAATCAGAACCAGGAAGGAGAAGGGAGAAAATCAATACATTCTAGTGAATTTCCCTCATCTGAAGTGAGAGAAGGTGATTTCTGGTCTAAAGGGTCAACTTGCTTTCAGAACTACTGAAAATGACGTATGGTGACTGTCACATTGTATATTTTCTCATGTTTTGGAAATTGGGAGGATCTTGTGTTCTATTCCAGCTTCATTAAGCTAAAGGGCCTGTAATTTAACCACTCTGCTATTTCACAAAGCTCCATCAGTACACTTCTGCCAAGAACCATTAGAATTTCTCAAGACAGCTAGGTAAATACTCACCCTGTCTATCAAAAACAACCTCTGCCTGTCCTGTGCCATAACCCGTAACATTTATAAACACGCTTATTAACACATGCAGGAAATGAGACAATGAGAGCCACTAACTTTTTGGTTCATTTCTTTTTAGGGAAATTTCATTCCAGCAAGTGCCTGGCATCAGATGTTATTTGCAAAAAAAGGTGAGGACTCTGCAATTACAGGTAGCAGAGGGCTACCTGCTGAACATGATGCCAACCAAAATAACATGGCTAAATCTGGTCTCCGCACTATATGGCAGGCTGAACTGAGTAAATATGCAGAACCAGTGAATTAATACTATATAACCTTTGGGAAAATTTTTGTGCTAAAAGAGCTATGGAGTGAGGGCATGCCAAGAGTTCCGGAATTTTGTGTGTGCCACCTTAGGCAAATCATTTGACTTTTCTGGTCTTTGATATCCTAACCTAAAACACAGCATTTTGCCTTTTCAATGATGCATTTAATCTAAGAAAAGAATTTAGCCAATTAATTAAAATCATGTCACATCAGTGAGAAACTGATTTTCTTTTTAAGCTTCTGATAACCTTTGTCAATATGAATGCAGTGCTAGAAGCAGTCACCTGATTGAAAATGATCTAATATCTAATAGTAGTTCTTTAAGGTTGTTATAATAGTAATATTAGATCATAGGCACACACTTTAATTTTCTTTAAGAAAACAAGTTTTACATCCAGTTAGATACATACGAATTTCAAGAAATGCTAGCATAAGCTAAATGACCATTTACCAGTAATATGTCTTTAAAATTTCAAAAGGATATGGTAAACTATTTTTAATTAACTTATTTTAGAAAAGAAAAATAAATAGCATGACCACATTTTGTTACTATAGCTAAAATCACCAAACATACACAACTTTCTATATAGTTATTTAGGAATAGGAATGTTTATTATTCTAAGTTTCTATATACCTGAGGCTCAGAATACAAAGTCTCACTATTATTCTCATTTTCTAAATGTCAGTGTTTATGTGCCAATGTTAGACATGGTCTCACAAGAAATATCAACTTGGAATCACTATATTCACTTGCTGAAGTATATTTTGGAATATTAAAGAATTCTGTTGTGACTTGTCTAACAATATGTTAAAATCTTTGCTAAGTACTCTGTTCACTATGCGTCATTGATAAGGATGTTTTAAGAAAGTACTTCATAATTACTTGTAAATGCAGAAGCTCTGATTGATTTTTTTCTCTTCTATTGCACCCCAAAAGTAAATGATTTTTATTTTGCTTCTAACACGTAAGTGGCCAGCAAAAGTATATCTTGAGGTATCCATCTGAATAAGAGTGATACATGCTTAAACCTGTTTTGAAAATGTTTGGGGAAATGAGCACAAGTCATGTTTTCATTAGCTTGAGCATCAGAAATAAGGAAAACATCTTACCTTCCACTCAGAGATGAAAAGAAGGGCACTACATGTATTCCCAAGGGGCCTCCTTCCCCAGAAATTTCCACTGTTCTTGTCATATCACTGGGCAGAAAAAACAAGAACACAGATGAGCCTCTGCCAAAAACCAGATGAGGCACATTAAAAAAAAAAAAAAAAGAAAAAAGACATAAAAAGAAAAAACCCACCTAAGGATTATATCAACTACTGTAAATTCAATAAACAAAAAACAAAAACAAAAAACAAACTTGTTAGCATCGAGTTGATTCTGACTCATAGCAACCCTAGAGGACAGAATAGAACTGTTCCATAGGGTTTCCAAGGAGTAGCTGGCTGGTGGATTTGAACTGCTGACCTTTTGGTTAACAGCCGAGCTCTTAACCACTGCACAAAGGGCTCTGTAAATTCAAAAGCAGAGATGAAATCACACAAGTACATGATTTGCTGGTACGTTTAGAAGATCCAGAGAATAAAATGTTTAAAAGACTATTTGATTGTTTTTTTTCCTACAAATGGAACAAATGAAAATGACTGTCTACAAAAATAACTTCCTACTTAACTTAATCTGCATAAATCAACATGTTTAAAAGGATATACACAAAAATGAAATTTCTCCCCATTGAGATGCACTTGAAACACACTGGACAGATCATAAAATACATGCAAGTAAGCATATCTATGCTTAAGTGTAACGTAGGCTGTTTTTTCAGAGCAGTAGGAAAATGAAATAAAATACATATTTATTAGAAAAAGCACAGAATCGCATTTTACAATGGTTGTGAAGCCACAATTGGTGACACATACAGGAATGTTCAAAGCATTATAAATCAAGACCTAAACTTGCCTTTCAATAAGGCATCACTTGCATTCAATGGAACAATTCCAAATTTTCACCTCCTTTTTTTAAAAAAAATTGTTTAAGAGATAGAAAAAGAGGTTGCAAAGCCTAGAAAAAAATGTATTATAGAAAGAAATAGAAAGCCTGACCCACCTAACCTGCAGCAGACTGAGAAAAGGATGAGCTAGAAACATTAACACATAGAGCACATGACTGAAATATACAAGACATTGGGAGCTTTTGGGTAATAGAAAGTAGAAGTAACAAGTTTTCATAAAGATGAAAAATAATAACTATGAACAATTATTGGTTCCTTTAATCCCAGACAGAGAAAATACAATTGCCAGAGGAAAAATGATAAAGTTGAAGCAAACAGTCCTGTTATAGAAATTGTAAGTATGTCTCTATTGTCTCCTATTTATGTGGAAATGACCTGAAACTAAATGTCAAATTAAGAGCTACAGCTGCTACACATGCTTTTCTCCTCCAAAATGAAAATGGTGAAATTTTGGCTCCTTGCTAGAAAGTTGAGAACAGCAATAAGAAAGAAAGCAAAACGACTGATGAATTCACTCTGCATGAAGTAGTCTCTAAATTATCAGTGATCTAAAATAAATACATTTAATGTATTCTCATCAGTGGATTAGGCTTAATGTAAGTTTTTTTTTTACGTAAACCTATTATCATTAAGAACTGCACAAAAGAGTATGTCAATTTCTAGAATTTGTGCACTACGATGGAATTTCAAATCCGATAATAAATTTCAAATGAGTTTTACCCAGATATTGCTGATATATTTAAAACTTGTTCAGTCAAGCAGGTTATATGAGAAGCCTGGAATAAAAGTTAGAAACAAAATAAATTTTAAAGTGATATCCTGGGATAAAATAGATTCTTTTCTATACTTTATTTGTGCAGATATGGACATTTATATGAATATAGGTATATGAAATGTCATAAATATGTATGCATTATAAACACTGAATATAAAATGTTTAGTGGGCAAAGAAAGTTGTATGCTTTTAATAGACCAAAAAGCAATTTTTATGTAATAACAGATCTTCATTATTTTTTAGATAATGTAGTTCATTTGTAGGCATTTGTGGAAGACTAAACCCAAAGCATTCTAGGGTTACATTACTGTTTTAAAGACTTTTTAAAATGGAGACTAAAATCTTGTTTAACCATTATTATCTTTTATCTTTATAATGTATTTTTATAGTTTTGCAGAGTATAACACAAATCTTTTCCTAATAAATGTATCAAGTATCCACACGCTGATAGGTAATACACATACTTAATGTACAGAGGCTTTTGGAATATAAGTGTTTAGTCTAGTGTAGACTTCAAGATTCCAGCTTAAAAATTTTTAGGACAGTTTTAATGGATTCTCATTTTTTTTAATCTCACAAATATTTCTTTACCCCAGTCAAAATCCCTCCTATAAAACATAATAAATTCTATGTATCATACTGATACTCTTTAGTAATTACCAATTCTATATTTTTACATTCACTTAATAATGTAAAGAGCCCTAGTGGTGCAGTGGTTAACAGCTCGACTGCTAACTAAAAGCTTGGCAGTTCAAATCTACCAGTCGCTCCTTGGAAACCCTATGCAGCAGTTCTACTCTGTCCTACAGGATCACCGTGAGTCAGAATCGACTCGATAGCAATGGGTTTTTTTTTGTTCTTTTTAAATAATGTAAATCTTATAATTTGTTTAATCAATCAATCTTATTTTAAAATGCTAAAACTTATTTTTTATATGCAGTTTTAAGGTTGATTTCTACTTTACAACATCCCCTTTTTCAATACTGCAGAGTAAACTTTTACTCTATCATTACACACGATAGTCAATTCTTTGAATATGAAGGTTTTGACAATTTTATTACTATTACAGAAAAAATTCATAAAAAATTTTATTTATTATAATACGAAGCACTTTTAGAAAACTAAGGAGCCCTGATGACACAGTGGTTAAAGATGCGAACTGAAAGGTCGGCGGTTAGAAACCACCAGTGGCTCCATGGGAGAAAGATACGTAGCCTGCTTCCTTACAGGTTTACAGCCTCAGAAACGCCTATGGGCTCACTATGAGTTGGAATCAACTCGATGGCAATGGATTTTTGGGGTGTTTTAGAAAACTAGTCTACTGAATTCCAGAACACGTAACTGTGCTCAGGAGGAACCTGTACACAGACCACGAGGCTGTCTTTTGAACACAACTAGGGAATACTGCATAGTTTAAAATCAGGAAAGGTGTGTGTCAGGGTTGTATCCTTTCACCATACTTATTCAATCTGTATGCTGGGCAAATAATCTGAGAAGCTGCACTATATGAAGAAGAATCTGGCATCAGGATTGGAGGAAGACTCATTCACAACCTGCCTTATGCAAATGACACAACCTTGTTTGCTGAAAGCGAAGAGGACTTGAAGCCTTACTGATGAAGATCAAACACTACAGCCTTCAGTATGGATTATACCTCAACATAAAGAAAACAAAAATCCTCACAACTGGACCAATAAGCAGCTTTATAATAAATGGAGAAAATACTGAAGTTGTCAAGGATTTTATTTTACTTGGATCCACAATCAACACCCATGGAAGCAATAGTCAAGAAATCAAACAACATATTGCATTGGGCAAATCTGCTGCAGAAGACCTCTTTAAAGTGTTAAAAAGCAAAGATAGCATCTTGAGGACTAAGGAACACCTCACCCAAGCCATGGTATTTTCCATCACCTCATATGCATGCAAAAGCTGGACATGAATAACGGAGATCGAAGAAGAACTGATGCCTTTGAATTATGATGTTGGCAAAGAATACTGAATATACCATGGACTTCTAGAATAATGAACAAGTCTGTCTTGGAAGAAATACAGCCAGAGTACCCCTTGGAAGCAAGGATGCGAGACTTCGTCTCACGTACTTTGGACATGTTATCAGGAGGGACCAGTTCCTAGAGAAGGGCATCATGCTGGAAGGTCAGTGAAAAAGAGGAAGTCCCTCAAGGAGATGAATTGATAGAGTGGCTGCAACAATGGGCTCAAACATAGCAACGACTGTGAGGATGGTAAAGGACTGGGCAGTGTTTCGTTCTCTTGTATACAGGGTAGCTATGAGTGGGAACCGATTCGATGGCACCGAACAACAACAACAGTTTTAAAGGAGCCCTGTTGGCACAACAGTTAAGTGCTCTGCTGCTAACTGAAAGGTTGGCACTTCAAATCCACCCAGAGGCTCTTCAGGAGAAAGGTCTGGCAATCTACTTCCATAAAGATTACAGCCTAGAAAACCCTATGGGGCAGTTCTACTTTGTCACATGGGGTTACTATGAGTCAGAATTGACTAGATAGCATCCAATAACATCAACGAGTTTTACACAGACCATGTTGCACCATGCACTTTATCAAATTTTATCCATTATTTCTTTCAAGAAAGAAAAACATTTAAAAACAAACAAACAAAAAGTCTTACAGGCCAGTCCACATATTTTCTTTTGTTTTAAAATAAAATAAAAACCTAGGTACTATAAATATTATCTGGACTGCTGTAGAAATCTCTGTATACATACCCTTCTTAGAAGACAAAGCACAGCTAGTAGGACTGGGCACAATTATTTCACTATATATCTTATAAAGTGAGATTTTACTAAAATATGAAAATATGCTATTAATGTTATTTGTTTATACAAACTACAGAGTAAGTTTAGGGACCAGTAAGTAGGATATGTATGTATTTATTTATGCGTTGGGGAACAGTGCAGCTGTCAGGAGATAAGCTGGAAGATAGTCTGAGAATGGAAAATGCAGAGAATGAGGTGGAAAGGAGATCCTAGCAATGGAAAGAAAAAAGAGATTGAGAGATACTTTTGAAAAAGAGACCAAAAAAAAAAAAAAAAAGGAACTCTGCAGGTGAAGGAAAAATATTTCCTTTAGACAAAAAAGGTGGTGAGAAAATTCCAATAAGACATCACAAAAGCCAGCTTTAAACAACTTTATAAGACATATTAAAATAGAAGCAGATGGTCACAAATCATTAGATTAACTAGCATTAAACAAGCTGAATTTTCGAAGATCCATTGACAAAACTGATTAAAATAATCACTGGAACCAGTTGCTATCGATCTAAGGGCTTAAGAGAAAGAATGGGCAAAGCTATAGAATCAGTGGTTAAAAATGGAACTGTCATTATGAATGGCTACTCTGTTAAAGCTAGACAGAAAGTTCTTCAATTGGTT